CTCCGTCCCTACGTTAGCCCATACGCCCTAATTCATAGTTTTCTGCGAATTTTTACAAAGCTTCTCCTGCCCCTGTCCTCGACCATGGGCTGACCATACCCGTTCTCCTCTCTCTCCTCTTTTTCATTCTCTCATGCTCTGTCTCCCTGGGCCCTACCACGAAAAAGCAAACACGGGAACGCCCGGGGTGGCCTCCGCCCCGAACCGCTTTTCCAGTCACACTCTCCCTGTGTGTCTGTTTGTGCTCCGAATCCTACGCATTTGTAGCCCTTCGGAATAATGGTCGAATTAGCTGATGCGCTTTTTTGCAGTTAATTTGAGGATTTTCCCAATTTTACGAAATTTCCGAGTGTCTGCTATTTTGACTAGTTTTCGAGCTCCAAGTTATCCGATTCCGTCTCGCTGACAGTTTTTGTGTCTATTCCCTCTTTCCTGCGTGTTCTACGGTATGCTGCGTAATACGAACTTTCGGTGGAACTTTTTACCCTGAAATCGTCTAAAAATCCCTGATTTGTCCTCATGGTGGTCGAAAGTTGATTTTAAAGGAGCCAGAGCCTGGAATCGCCATTTACATTCGATCAGACGTTGACTGCCTACGGGTTGCGCCAAAATACGCATATAAGCGGCGCACCCGGTCTTCCCCGGATTGCTGTTCGACACTCCCAAAATGAGCATGAGCCTCTTTTGGCGGCGTTTTCGCTTGTCTACACCTCGGCGACCATAGGGGTCGTTTTTGCCTCTTTTTAGCTCTTAAATCGCCTCACCTAAATCCCGCTTTTTCAAGTATTTCTCGCATTGCCTCGAATTTTTTGTTCTGAAAATCTTAGCATTTGAGATGAGACGGGGCATAGTGTGCTGAAAAGTAGAAATCAATTCACAGGAAAACACCTTCTTTCTATCAAATTCCACGACCGTCTAATTCCTTTAATTTCGTTTTTTTTCACCCCAATTACAACATTACAACTACTCTTGCCTCCCAAATTTGCAAACACCGCCACGAATAAATTTCTACGAGACCGCGAGGGCCGCGGGCGGGCCATTGGCCGGCGCGTGTGCGTGATGGTGGGCCATTAGGCAAGTGACCAGTGCATACACACCCTCTCACTTCCATCCCCCAGTCCAGAGCAAGGGCTCCGTTTCGTTTCGGGACCCGCAGCGGGATGGTGGCCTTTGACTTCGGACCCTCGCCCGCGCACAACCAGCGCCCCTTCGCCACCGAAGAAGACACGCGCATCCTTAGCGAGGACTCCGAATTCGACACGGCCAAACCCGGGGGCACCATTTCCACACCACTACACTTTACACCCGAGCTTTGACCTCAGGCCCCTCACCGTGCTTTTAAAATGGGCTTTTCTCTAAAAATACCGTATCCGTATCCGTTCCACACCACGACACTGCTCTTTACACTCTATAATGGGCAATTTAAAGCAACAATTACCGTACCCTACACGATTCTATTTTTTGGGACCACCGTTCTTTGTAATTTTCTATCTGAAATTTGTCAGGTCTGGCTGGGTGCACCATTTCCAATCCACTAGGCGCCTCAACGTACTCTGTAAAATCTGCTTTTTCTCTGAAATGATTGTATCCGCACTATTTCCGCAGCTCTATTTTTGACACTCTGCTACACTTAGTTACAGTAGTTTTTCTACGATTTCGCGCATTAACGTATCCAACTGGAATGCAAGAATAGAAGTAGTTTCTCTTTTCTCTTATTCCCTCCATCTGCTTTTTCTGAATTTTTGAGTTTTTGCATTGCCCGTTTTAAAGAGTTTTTTTTAACGATAATTAAAATTAATGATACGCACACAAGCTCAAAATACCTCAACGGCGGATTTCTGGCTTGACGTTTAGCTACAATTTCGTCTATCAGACGTGCCAGTGTTCCTCGAAATTTCACATAAAATTGGTAGCTCCATGGCAAACAGCTTCCAAAATAGGCCACTGTGCGTCAATCCCGAAAACCATGCGCTTCTTCGTCTTGTTTCCTTATTACCATTATATATAGAATTGTAGGCAATTTTCTGCCTCTATTACCGTTTCAGTGTCGGATTTCTATGTCAAAAACACAACTGCAAAAATCCATTTCCAAATCTGACCCCAGTGAAGCGTCAATCATTGTCAAAATTGGGAGCCGTGGCGTCTGCCCAGCCCGCCTTTGTGCCCCTCTGGGCGCCCGATCCCCATGCACCGATGTCCGAGTGGCTAAGGAGATTGACTAGAAATCAATTGGGCTCTGCCCGCGTAGGTTCGAATCCTGCTCGGTGCGAACTTTTTGCTTTTTGGTAGATGGGTTGATATATACCTTTTGTAAGTCATGGCAACCTCAGAACGTTGGTCAATTAATATCTTTTTATGGTTTTCCCGATTTTTAATGCTTTTCCGTCTTCTGTTCGGCATTTCACTAAATTGATTTCCAGATGTCATTAAATGGGGAAACCGATGATACCACCGCTGAGAGCTCGTCTTTCCATGAGGAGTCGCCGAGTACGATGCATCTCGATGAAGTAAGACGGACTGATGATTTGCTAATGATTTCTAAGGACCAAGACGTCGAAGCCGGGGGCACCGACAAGATAATTCGAAGCGCTGACGGGAAGACGATTGAGGTTGGTAACAACTCGTATTTTATTTTTCCATTGCATAATTTTGATGGCTTCTGAGGTAACTTTTTAAGTTTCCGACCCCGGTATTTTTTTAATTTTTTTGCTAAACGTTAAATGAAATTTTACCTTCGACGAGCTCAGAACTAGAGTGTGTTATCGGTGAACCAAACGCTGTTTGAATGAACATCTCTGAACAATGATTATTCAAACAATCCGATCGAATTATTCGAACATTGATTATTCAGATCAGTCGGTTCACATTTATTCAAACATGTTTGAATAATCACAAGCGAGGATGCAAGGCGCTTTATGCAATCGGTTTTGACCAATAGCGGATTCAATCTTGTTCGGCATGCTCAAAGTAGTCATCATCGTCGCCACTTTCTAAATATGTTACAGCGTTTTTCTTAGTCATCCCCATACCGGCGTCGGCGTCTTCATTTGACACAACCTCGCAGCCAAAAGCGAGCATTTCGGCTTCGAGCAAGAGGCGATCTTCATCGGCCTCTCGACGGTACATGTTCCTGAATTTTAAATGAAGCCAGGGATCCGTTTTGGAACTACTTCAAGGAGCTGATCTGGCACGAAATGAGCGCAAATTCTTGGTAGGTGTCGTTATGGAGGCGGCACCGTCTCGGGTCCGAAGCCAGCCGCGTACAGATAGAAAACACCCTCTCGACAGCAACTGATGCGGCAGGCATCGTTGGGCATCTCGAGGCGACGACTGAGCTAAAGATAGGAACATAAGGCGGGTCTCTTATGGGGCTTGGACCTTGGGCATCGCCAAACCGCTGCGCATCCCAGAATTTTGCTACCGATCCAGCGTAGGGTGACAACTTCTCGGCATCGAGAGAAGTAGCCTTATATAGGTCGAATTCCACCTGAGCTAATTGGGTAAACTCGACCACAGCGTACCTCAATCGCCGATCGCGTGGGCTGAATGGACAATCCGAGTACGGAAAGATCGTCATCGACGAAGCCCGGACCAGTTGAATGGCTCGCCATAGTAGCAGCGAGGCCTAAAAAAGTTCAATTACTAAATTGAGGGCCCTAGGTTTTCTGATTCTTTCGTCTTGAGGCCTATTTTTACCTTGATTGGTATCATTTACCGACGCCAATATTCGTTCAACTGCTAGGCGCCAATCTTCCGGATCCAGAAGTTTTCCATAAACGTAGGGATCAAAAACTGCTCCCTCCTGCAGAAAGATGTATCTATTTCATATCAGTTGATCTGCCAACCAAGGAAACGTGATCCGTGAAGTGCTTTTCATATTGTTCCAAAGCTATCAGCAGCCCATCTGCTTCGTTTGTTCCACTATTTGTCCATATAATGGAATTATTGTCACGTCTTCAAACCAGTTGCGTAGACGTTGTTTCGCTGAGGACCAAAATCGAAAGCGGGTAACGACGGTCGAATGTTCGGAAGAAAACTATAATTAATGGGACCCGTACTAGGTAGATGACCAACTTTCTTGGTCAATTCGTGGGCGATAGAAAGTGGCTGGAGGATCTTCTGGATTTCGTTGACTTCCTGCGTCGAAATCAGCTCAACTTTGCGCGTTTCGTTGATAGCATTGATGGTGGCGACCGGAAAAACTAGTTAGCGAGTGCCCCTATGTCCTCACCTGCGGCAGAGCACTAACCACCATTTGGTACGCCGAATACCAGCGGGTCGGGCAGTCTTTCTGCGGCAATGGTGCCCCCGGGCTCAGACTAAAAGAAGTTGTTGTATTTGAACAATTTTACCTTTTGAACAATTCTTTGTCTTTTACACTGCGGGACAAATGGCGGGTAAATTCTCGAATCTTCGCCAGCGGGGTGTCGTAGAGCTTTAGGAAGTTTACCACACCGTTGTGGATTTTGTGGGCCGAACAGACGATCCTAAGAGCTGGTAAATAAATGCTTTGTCAAACCATGGCACTTTCAGCGAAGTCGCCGTGGCCTTATTAGATGAAGCCCCATCCGTGGTTACAGCCACTAGCTGCTAAATTTGCTCATTCGCCTTTATCATCAACAAAAATCTACATCTGGGCTGATCCCATAATCGTCGAGCACTTGACGGACAACCGATGCTAGGAAAACTGCCGTGTGACGTTGCTTCGAGACATCAACCAAATCCAAAAGCAATTCCCTCGGTTTTCCCGAGTTTGAATGCGCGATGACGCCGACGGACGGCAAGGTGACCTAAAATCCCGATCGGCAGCGTCTCAATAAGGCTCTACCTTAGCACGCGCAAACCACTTCTGAAGATAGGGATTATTCAAAATGGCTCCAGGTGCGATGTTGGCTGTCGCCAAGCCAATGTAGAACAAGTAGTCCGAATGCAGGTCATCGAAATGTAGTGCCGGTTTCGCCAATACGGCTGCCTCTTCCTCACGTAGTTCAGCATAGGCCTCGGGGTGTATCTACAGCATTCAATGGTTGGCTTTTGCACTTACCATTTCCAAGTGTCTCAGCGCGTTGGTCGTAGCATTTCCCGAGTATTTCGTCGCGCATCGCCTGCACTGCATACCGCTGCCCGGCAATTTTTGAAATTCCCTGCAAAGACCATCGTTCTTATCTGGCTTGATCTGGCTGCTACCGCCAGATGATGGATGGGCTCCTTGGCGTCTTCGCCTTCGGCGAGCAGATGTTCGGGGATGTCGCTCGGCGCTTACTATACGTGCAATTGTTCATTTTAGCAGGGGAATGAGAAACGGGCCCACCTCATCGAAAAACATTGCGCGAAAAATGACATATTTCTGTGTAATCACCGATGCACCTTATTCAAATATGTTCGAATATGTTTGAATCCTCGATAGCTCATTTGCATCATTCAGACGTTATGCAAACCGTCATTCCATTCACTCTGAATAATTTATTCAGAGGCGAATGAACATGTTCGAATAATTGTTTGAACATCACACACTCTACTCAGAACCGGCTTGTGTTCTACGTAAATTCACGCAATTCCAAATAGTAGCTTTTTTAAAGGAACTAGGAAGCTGCAAAATTGACCCCCTTCTATCGCCTAGATGTCGACAGCCAGGCTTTTGCTCAAAACGACGTTAAGCTGATTTTAATAACTCTTAAAACCATGATTATAAATATTTTAGAGTTGAGCGTAGTTGTCTGGACCCAGTTGAGGCGAGGGTCGTTTTTAGCCTTCCAGGTCCCTTTAAAACATAGATTTCGTGCTTTTCCGCTCCAATCCATGCTCACGAAGTTTCTCCCAATTCTTCCCACTCCTTTTTGACAGCCGCAATGCTCCCGTTCTTCGTCCAGGCGTTCCCTCACGAAACCATTGTGTTTACCTTTCGAAAAGTGCTCATAATTTGGTGCATGGGTCCCGTCCCCAGCCAGCGTTCGTGAGGCGTGTGTTGGGCCCCGGCGCGAAGCGCGCGCACGCCCCGGGGCCCCTTCTTTGTGTCCCAATTTGTGTGGGGGTCCTTTTTCGCCTCCTCCGCGTTTCGATGTTTGCACGCATGGGGGGTTCAGCGCTGCGCGCGGGGGAGAGGGAGAGAGTGAGAGAGATAGATAGAGAGGGATGGGACCTGTCCAAAAAGTGATGAACCCTGGAGAAGGGCGGGAGAGCTGGCGCGGAACGCTGATGAATGCGAAACGCGGTGCGGGCGGTCCATTTCGGTTTTTGGAACGGGCGGGCGGGGGAGTGCAAAGGTGTGAATCTGAACGTCAGGTTGCAAATCCTACACAGGGGCCAGCAGGGCGTTTAGCATTCTCCGCGCCCGCGACACGCGGCGCGCATTTTCATTGTATAATGGATTTCTGAATTAGAGCTGCGCGGCGTGTGTGTTGCATGTCGCGAGAAACACATAGTATGTCTTGCTTCCCATTAAACGCAGACGACGAGGTTCATTTTTTGAGAGAATAACATAAATAACCTTGAGATCATGCTCGTTTTGGACGCTTAATAAGGGCCAGAGGCTACCCTTGATTTCGACTAGGTCTAGACAAAACAATCAACTACAAAGCATGTTTAGGCTAATTTTTTTAGCTACGAGATCTGTAAAATTACGTAAAAGCATAACGTTGTACGTAACTGTCTAGATCCAGCCGACAAAACGGGTCGAATCAGCCACTTTCTAGCCCCTTTAAGGTACAAGGAACGCTTACAGAGTTAGGCATGACTCGCTTGGCTGCTAAAGTAGGTTGCGGTACTTTTAAGCTTCATCCTGCGTTAGCTATAGCTCCTTAAAGCCATCTCATCCGCAAGCTTGACCCTCGAGCCCCACCTTCTACTGTAAAGCTTGTTTTTCCCCGAGGCCACCAAAGCAGAAGAATACCCCCCCTTGATCACTTCCTACCAATCCTTTCGCTCCGAGTTCCGGCTTGCGGGCCTTAGAAAAACAAATGAGAGGCCCCACCTAGCCGGGGCCAAAGGCTTGAGGTGGTTTGTGGACGAGCACGCAGTTGACCATTACGACATACACACACCCCGGGTGTAAGACACGGCCACCACCACTCCGGCCGCTGTGATCGGCGCAACGGGACACCTTGGTGATGGATTCACCCCCGGCCGCAGGTTTCAGGTGCCCCCGAGGAAAGTTGAAATTAAGTGGCACGGCCGGAAGTAGGAAGGGTAGTCAATTTTTGGGGGTTTCAACGGTATTTCAAGGAAGCTTATTTTTCAACGGAACATGTTACCAAAATTTAGCGTCCATTTGGCCCCTTTACGATTTTAACTTTTCTGTATAAGGCTAGAAATGTCTAGTTACTAAAGAGAAAATGTTTTAATAATGTTTTTAGCAATATAGAACTGTATTTAAACTAGATACTATCAAAAAAATTTTGAAAAAATCGAGAGTTTTGATAAAATCGACCATTTTCAACCGAAAAATCGATATTCTTTCATTTTTTAATACAAATTTGTAAGGTTTCTGTGGTTAGGAATAGTAAAAACCCATTTAAAAACATTTCCACCATTTATATTAGAAAAATTAGCTCCTCAGGATAAAGTTGGTTTTTCCGAGGTTTGACCGAAAGTCTGTTTTCTTTCGCCAAAGAGTACCCGGTCCTTGTTCAGTCCTGTAGTACGGTTCATGTTCCGAAACGTCTCTTGACGAAAGTCAGGGCAAATTAGTTACTCTAGAACCAACGCCTTGAGTTCGACTTCAAAATTTCCCCCTCGCACTACCCCCTAGTTCCCTAGCTAATGGTCATCATCCACATGCCAATGAGCTCCTCCTCCCCTCGTAGCGTCAGCCTCAGCCACAACGCGTGTTTTACAGCACACGACTCGGGCGAGTGGAACGCCAGAGGGGTTGCGTGGCCCCCGGCGGTCCGAGTCGACTGCTGTGGCCACTCATTTGGCGTAATAGTATTTGTCACACAAATCCCATCCTAGTCAATGAGAAGAGAGAGACTGGAAAGAGCTACTGCCCCCTGGCCTTTGGAAATGCCGACCGAAGTTCGGGGCCGGCAAAAACCTGTTTGAAACGGCGTTAGGGGAGGCGATGCATTAAGACTGGTCTTAATTAGGTTTTTGCAAAAAGTTCCTGTTAACAGCTGACAGCATTATGCCCGAGATAAGGAAAATACTAATTTCCATATCTCGGTGGTCGGAATTCATGGCCGATTGCTAAAAATTGGCTTTCCCATTTTTTGAAATTAAAGGCGCAGGCAAGTCATAATTGTTAATTTTCTGAAACTGGCTACAGTGAAGATTTTGCCGCCTCGCGACACGCAACGCGTTTGGCTGGATTTCCAGTAAGTTACCGCTTACGACTCATTGACCCTGGCGAAGTCGTGGCCGCGTCGCTTGTCCCGCGGTACTCAAATTCATAGGAAATCCCGAGCCAACAAAATCCATAGCCCTGCATGGGGCCCAACCCGTTCAAATTTAACTTTATAGAAAAAGAAGTGGAAGGCTGAAGACACTGAAATTTTAGGAACAGCCGAAAAATTTCGTACTCGAATTGACCATCGCCGTCGATTTTTGCCTTGCCAGCCCCTTTAAAATATTCAAGCTCCGAAACAGACCTCATCTGAGGCGACAGACAATTTGCCAAACCCCAAAAACGTATCGTTTTCAAAACTGGCCGACCAGTCATCCCCCATCTCCTTGACCCACTACCCCCAGCGTGCCGTGGCCGGCGTGCGCATTCTGGATGCTCAAAGCGTTCAGGCTAGGCGGGAGAGCGAGAGAGAGAGAGAGAGAGAGAGAGAGAGAGAGAGCGATAGACTTCCAGCAAGCTAGCGTGTTTATTGTGTGTCGGAACGGGCTGGCTGGCTGGCCAGCCGGCCGGGCCGAGCGAGCGAGCGCGGGCGCGTTTTGTTTGGCTTCTATTCCGAGTCGAGTCGGGATTCGCGTGCTCCAGCGCCCGGAGGGAGCGGAGCGGAGCGGAGCGGAGCGGTCCCGTCTCGTTTCACAGTCTCCCCCTTTCGTCACGAAATGCAAATCGACGATGGGCACTCCGGCTGGCTGGCCGGGGGCGTGCTCGCTGAATGAAAGCTCATGGATTTGGCGGAGCAATTTTGCTGCTGATTTAAAGGGGTTGTGAAGGCAAATATATAAGCCTTGAGATGGACTGTAATCTCTATCGATCCTCGTTACAATAAATTTAACTTAAAGATAGAGCGAGTGAGAGAGAGAACTAGCCTAATTTCTAATTTTTTCAGGTAAAATGCGGCCCCCTCCGAGCTAGAATGCACGTCGAGCTCTTCCTGTGCCCCGGAATCCATCAACCCTGCATCGAACTCGGCCATGAGATGGTCAGCCCCAAGGAGTTCACCGTGCGGGCCAACAAGGACAAGCAAAAGGACTGGAAGGGCTCGATTCGGATAGGGAAGAGTAATTTGAGGTGAGTAGAAGCATAGCTTTTGAGCTCAAACTTTTTAATAATGCTTTCCACATATTTTTATGAAGGCTAGCTAAGCAATAAGAATACCGGAAAGCGTTGCGTATGGGTTACGTTGCGTGTCATGGCAGACGCTAATTCCTAATGCCAGCCTACCAGCGTGAATTGGTAGAGTCAAGGCAAACGCAACGCACACGCAACGCGACCGTACCGCTTTAAAGGAACCTAAAAGGGTCAGAATCGACCCCATCCTGGGCTTAGGTCTCGACAATACGAAAATAAAACCAACTCCGACTCAGTTTAGCGGCACATATTGATACGTATTTCGAGCAAAGACGCGAAATTCGACTAGACATGTCTTGATATCTAGGCTTAAGCGTCTGGTTTGGTTGTTGCATTTGGTTGTGGCCAGCAACTGTCGAGATCTAATCGATAAAATGGTCGAATGTTGCGTTTTCGGCTGCTTTAAGATTAAGACCTTAAAAAATCACGTGCTTAAGACCAAATTTCAAATTTAATTTAGAACCCTAATGGAACTCCGCACGTTCGACTTCTTCAACCACGCACAGTATTGCTCCGCGAAATGTCAGAGTCGGAATTATATAACCCCGAAGAGCGAGAGGGCCATTCAAGAGAATGGAGAAAGAGACTTCAGGTAGATTTATTGGCTTTGATTTTCTGAATTTCTGGATATTTTTAGAAGAAGCAGCATCAAGTCCCTCGACCACTTTATGGGGATGACGCCCCAACCAACTCCCGCTCCCTATGGGATTATAAAACACGAGAATGATTCATTATCCCATCTCGTCCAGATTTCTACAGCTTTGAATAACAACAACAACGGATTGCCGATGATGCTCCAGACGCCGAGCGAGATCTCAATGACGCCAAGGGTGCCTACTGTAAGTTTTAGTGGTTTTAAGGCTTTTATGACGAAGAAACATGCGTTTAAACTATTTGTGACCCACATCCATTCGTTTAGCGTAATCTATGGTTTTATTAAAAGCTTTTTAATGTATTTTACGCCCTAAATTAGACTTAAAATTAAACTCAACATGAAGAATGAAATAGGATAGATGCAAGGTGATTTTTCAGAACGATGAGATCCTACATCGACTCCCTGCAACTCCTGAAAATGTTGGCCGAGTTATGCATTCTGGTAAGTGTTCCGACCTTTTATTAGGCGTTAGGCTGTTTGTAAGGATTGCCTGGAAGTTAATGACGAAAGATACTTTAGACGCCACCACCTTCTGGCCCCAGATGCAGCAAATCGGGCTGCTGGATGAGATCGTAGACACGATGCTGTCGGAGCTGGATACGATCCGGAACGAGACCCGAGTTCACAATATTACTCCAAGAGGTGTGTATCCAAAATCAAGGATTGAGCGTTGCTACAAATTACTACAAACGACGCTGATGGTGATGGTCCGATGCTTAAACCTCGTTTTAGTCTGTGCAACCCTCTCCCGTCTCTGCTCCTCCCTTGACCTCACTCCGATCGTCGCAGCAAAGTTGCGAAGTCGTCCTCCCCCGCCTCCTCCACCGCCCCAGCCGATTTTCCAGGCTCTGCCGACTTCCGGTAAGTTTCTATCAGAATATCTGAATGTCTCTCTCTCCCTCTCTCTCTCTCTCTCTCTCTCTCTCCCTCTCTCTTTGACTCTCTCCCGCTCTCTCTGACTCAAATAAACAAGTTTTTCAGACCTTCTCAGCGGCGAGCGGAAACGAAGCCTGGATGAAGCTCTGTTATCTCGACAACTTGGAGCCGCTGGGATGATGCCCGAGCTGAAGAAGCCAAGGGCACAGTACCCACAGATGGTCCAGTCGCCGCTGATTGAGGCGTTACTGAAGGTACGGTAGCGATCAAAGTCTAAGCTAAGCCCAAGCCAAAGCAAAACCTAAGCTAAGCCTAGCCAAAGCCAAAGCCAAAGCCGGAGCGTAAGCCTAGCAAGTAGTCAAAAGATTCCCGTTTCACCAACTTTATTCCCTCCACTTCCAGGTCCAAACCACCTACCAAATGCACCAGGCGCCGTTCGCCAACATGGACCTGTTGCTGAAGTTCGCCTCGCAGCCCCCGGCGATGAACATGGGCGACGCTGCTGGGCTGCCAAGCACGACGACCACGTCCCTGGCTTGCCTCCCACCCTTTCCGAGTGGAATTCCTGGACTTCCAACGTCATTATCAGCCGCTATGGGCCAACTACCAAGCCTCCCAAGCAACCTGCAAGCTCACAATCCACTTCAAAGCAACTCCTCGATGCTCTCCGCGGCCCAGCCTGCCCCATCCGCTACCCCTATTGCCGATACGCTGTTGAAAATACAGTAAAATCCCGTAATCTAGGACCTAATTTGCATAATTTTCAAATTACGCCATAAAAATACATATTTTGTAACTTTGTTTCACGGAGTAACCGTTTCCAGTCTTGCACTTGGCTAATTTGCATCCACAAATCTTAAACATATACAACGTTTTGTTCTCGCTTCATGTCGTAGTTTAAAGCCAAATTGCGGTTATGCAAATTTTCCTGAATTTTGGGCTCGACTGTACAACCTACAACTGTGCCTTTAAAAACAACAATTGTCAACGCTTTACAAAATTTATTCATACCTCATTTGTATATGCTTGCTTTTGTCTTACATTTTGCGTATTTTTATTGCCCAAAACCCCCAAAAATTGCTAGTCAAAAACAAATAACGCTACAGCTGTGATGCTAGAATTTTTTTCTTTCTTTGTATTTTTCTGATGAAAATTGATACAAATACCCCTATTTTTGCGCTTTTTCACAATCCTCATGATTTTCATGTTCGAAGCTTTAATTTCGTATCCTGTACACTGCCGTATCTCTCTGATTTTTCCATGTGCATTTTCACGTCTTTCAACGAATTCCCCCAAGTTGCCTCATTAGCATACTATGTCTTTCAAAAAAAAATAGATGATGATCTTATTTTTGTTTTTAATAATATTCTAATTTTTGCGGGCTCGAAAATGATGTCTTTCAAATCTTTGCATTACGCTCTAAAAGCGTATAATGAAAAATCCTTATTTTTAGAGCTTTTCTTCCAGGAAATCGTCAGAGTTTCTAGCGGTTCACTTAGAAATCGTACTGTAATTTGACTTTTACCGTAATTTTAATTCGTCTTTTTGTATATATCAGCGTCGTTTGTACTATTCCGTACTCAATACTTTGTATCACGTACTCTGTAGTGCGTACTTTTGAGGAAATAAACCGTTTGATGACCGCATGCAATGCAAAATACTATGCAAAACACATAGGCACAAACTTTACAAATTTATTAAAAATCCAAAAAACGCGATTTTTTGACCAAAACGTAGCCGCTGTTTAACCAAAATTTTGTCTTTCAGTTTTTTAACATTTTTGATATTATCTTCCTCATTAGAATTTATCAAAATTTCTCGCGCAATACAAAAACCTCGTTTTTACAAAAAAATCCACTTCAAATTTTAATCTTCGTGAAAAATAATATTTGTGGGGCAAATGGACAGTATTATCTTTAGGACACGACACTTCGTAGCTTGTATTGTATAATGTAGTTTATAGTTTGTGCGTCCTTTTATTTGATACACGCAGAAACCAATAAGTTTATTCCGCAGTTCACCACATTGTATCATTTCCGTAAGTGACGCCGCTGCGTGCATGTTTTGTAGTAATAATTCGGTGATCGTCCTTCTTCTCCTGTCATTCAGTCGAAATCCAGCCTCTCCTTCCGCTTCTCCGATGGGCTGGGCTGAAAAAATTTATATTCTTCTCTTTGAGTTTCTCTCTCACTCCATCTATCTCTATGTCTCTCTCTCTCTCTCTCTCTCTCTCCGCGAATCACTAAAAATTACCGTCATCTCCGATGCCGGCTCGAATTCGTCCTTCATCGGCAGTTTCATCCTAGAAATCACTTTTGAATTTGGCAACTCGATAACGAGGATCTTTGCCTTCCATGGCCCTTTAAAATCCGCACCAACAAACGATAAGCAGCGTGACCATGACGAGGCAGCCGGCGAACATCCCGACGAGCAGCACGACGATGGACAGGTCGAGTTGCTCAGGCACAGCGTCGGATTGAGGGGATTCGGTCTGGAAATCGAAGCGTTGCTCGCTTTCTCTCTCTCTCGCTCTCTCTCTTCCTGGCTATCCATCTCTCTTTCCCTCTCTCTCTTGCTCACTCGCTCCCAAAATTTCACCTCTATGCATTGGACGGTAGAAAAAGTAGAGACATAGAGAAGCAGACAGAAAAATACAGCCAGCATCATCCAGTCAGGAAAAATTTTAGAAAGTATCGTGTTTCTGAAGCCATATCTGTGATTTTCACTTCCGGTTCGGCGAAAAATCCAGATGGAAATTTGATATGCAAATTGATTTTGATTTGTGGTGCCGAATTTCAGTCAAAAAATCCTTCAATTTTTTTATTTGGAGTGGCACTTAAAATTATATGCATTTGCAATGAGGTAAAAATTCATCCCTTCCACCAGAATCTCTCATTAACGGTCGGATCAATGCGTTCATCAGCGCCCCATCCGCAATCCAGTTCCACATCGAATTTCCTGGAGTTGAGCCGTTTCTTGTAGGTGGCCTCGTCAACGAAGAAGATAGTGGTGATGGTTCTAACCGGCCGTGGGTCGTAGAAATTCGGATCCTTCTCGTACAGATCTTTCGACACGCAAACGGTCATGTACCGGGGTGGGCCGCTTGTCATTTGGATTTTGAAGTAGATCTGGAAGATATCATGTTTTCTTTCAAAAATTTATAATTTTAGAATGTCGAAATGTCTGCATTTTAAAATTGGATAATGTCGAAATTCATGACGTCAAAAATTTAGAGCGTCGTACCTACATAAAGCTATTTTTCCCGGAAAAACGCCCGAATCCTGTGCAAAAAAAATTGACATTCTGAATTTCGACATTATGAATGTTGACATTATGAAATTGCGATATTATCAATTTCGGCAATACGATTTTCGACTATGATAGCACATCGAGGTGCCAAACGCTGCGTTGCGTATTGTGCGCACCTGAATAAAGCCACCATCGTTGGCTCCCTCTCCGCTGTAGCTGTCAGCTGTCACGTTCGCCCGCAAAAATCGGTAGACCTCGTATTGTAGCTCTTGTAGGACTGAAAAAATGTTCTGTTATTGCTAGCGTGATGCTGGTAAAATCAGTGGTCTCGGCCTTAGCGGGGGCGGGGCTAACACTTTTTGTTTTCCACCCATAGCTATTGGTTTTTATTATTGATTTTTCTAGTGTTTTCAGTTATTTTTGATTGCTAGAAAGTTACAAAAAAAACTTTAAAAAAATAGATTCGGCCCCCCCCCCCGCTAGAAATGCTAGAAAAAATCTCAAAAATTAGTCAAGCAATAATACAAACTTTTGCCCTCTTCCTCGTTGATTTTCTCGAGAATATTCGTCGTGAAGAGGTTGGCCAGCGTCTGGGCCTCGTGCATCCGGTTGCCGGGTAGTTGGTAGATCTCGCGGATTGAGTTTCTTAGAAACGAAATGTATTATTACACCCTGAATACAAAGTCCATACCTTGTTCTTTCGCTGAGTCGATTATAAATGGCTTGATATCCCGGGATGACCGCCTCCCACTCGGGGTTGTGACGGATGATGGTGTGTAGTAGCCCTTGGCGCGCACTGTTGTCCATGATCGCGCCCTGAATTTGCTCTTCAGGCGTTTAGCGATAGGATACCGTGAAGTTGAAGCGTGGCGGCATTGGAACATGGAGCAGACTGCGGTTTTGGAAAGCCTCTCGAGTTGCTTTCCCATTTTCGCGCTGACGTTGGTAAAGCCTTTCCTGGCCTTTGACCGTCCCAAGGTTGGAGCCGGAGCGGCAGCGCTAAAATATGCATTACAACTTGTAATTTACATGGGACCAGTATGGAATATACGTTTCGGAATGGTTCCGGGATACCAATTTTATAACGATGTGATCCGATTTAGTAAGATTTTGGAAAATTTGATCTCTGGTAGCTCACTCGAACGCTAAAATTTCCTAATGTCAAAGTTTCATAATGTCGAAATTTTCATACAAAATCATGAATTGTTAATTCTCCCTAAACAATGCAAAAAAACTTCGAGATTATTAAAACTCGACATTATGAAGTTTAGACATTATGATACCAGATGCATTCCAAAAAAGCATTTTTCTGCACCAAATGTGCTAATTACTTTCGAGGGAATATATTCTCTTCAATTTTTGCAAGAGTCTAAAGCGCGCGATTTTGATCATCAAATGCGCTGCAATTTCTTGAAAATGCCGATTGAGCTAATTTTAAAAACAGGCTCGGAATCAGCGAAAAATCCTACATAAAATAGACTGGATCCCGCTCAAAATTATGATGTCGCTAACAACACCTGATTGTCTCTGTCACTATTTCACGCCATTCCAGGCTTTAACAGGCAGGCACGGATAGCTTTTGGGCTACGGCAGGCTCCCTTGCACAAGGGGACAGCGCGCTCGCTACGTTTTTGTTCGAAAATGAACAAACTTTTGGACAAAACTGGTTTTTTCTCGAAATGTAATAGAAAAATTAGAAACTCAATTAGATTTAAATACACTAGACGCCAAGGCGCAGATTTTGATACCTAACTATCCAAAATCTATTCTGGTACTTTTTTTGTGATGTTCTTTCGAAGTTCAGTTCAGGATTTTGTGCGGTTTTAAATGGCGCAGAAACCAAGCATTGTCGCTGAAATCTGAGCCTAGATTTGGTAAAATCAAGGTCGATTACCCCCCATTGCGTGAAATCGACGCTTAAAATGGCTCCAAGTGACTGTTTTGCGAAAATGTACGCCAGTGGATCAACCGTCTCTTTTTGATCGGGTTAATTTTTCCAGCTCCTTATTGTTTTAGCAGTTTTCAATGGCTGGAGCACAGTTTTTAAGCAAAACGCAAAAGCTTGGCAAAGGTTTTGGGGAGAAATAGCGGTTGCACGTTGGTCCCGGGGGTCGAACCCGGACCCTCTGTTTGAGATTTGGGATCGGCGCTAACCGATTGCGCCGCGGCCCCGGGGGGTCCTATCCGTGCCTCCGTGGAATGCCGTGATTTATCATACTTACCACAGAGGCGCCGAGAGC